ACACTATTGATTAGATAAGTTGGGTGGAGATATATACATAAATATCAACCATTGTCAGTAATGTAAATAAGTCTATTCAATTAAACTCTTGACCAATAGAACTATTCACAATTCTACGTGACCTCTAGTATTACACTGTTTTCGCACACTCTAAATTAAATAAAATTATGCATAACATGTTTATCTAATACATATAAATAGAAACTAATAATAAAAACATATGAAAAATAACCAAACTGGAAAATAATTTTTCTTCTTTTTCCCATATACACCATATTAAAGGGTCTTTGGCAGGAGCATACATTACATTGTTTTCATCAACTATGAGCACTGTGTTATTAAAGTAATTGCATGCATGATGAGATCAACAGCTGAACTCTGATGAATCCCATTTATTTCTGCAGTATATGCCCTGATTACCTTTTCTAATTGATTAATTTTACTTCTTAATAAAAAGAGAGCTTTATCTATGTATTAGGCACTGACCCATGGCTCCCCTCTCCCCTAAGGGGGGCCTGAATTGGGGTCCAAAATTTGCTCCTCCCACATAAACTGTACAATTAAGATAACAGATTGACATTACTAGGCATTATTTTTTAATTTTGGCCTGATTTTTGAAGATATTAGGCAAACATTTTGAGCACATTTCTATGTGATACTAACACAGGTAAATTTCATCATGATCATTTATTAGGGTGGACTCTTAATATCCCCCATGTAAAAATCTATAAGCAAAACCTATCAATCTATCATGAGAATATGATATATGAGTAAGTCAGTTGTCAATTTAACATTTCAGAACTATTCAGAGTGATCGGGTCTTATTCTGAGCCATTCTGCCTTCAAGATTTTGAGATTATTTCTATAAGTGATATCATATTAATCAATTGAAGTTAACTATGTGATATCTTTGACCCTATCGTAAAGCATTTGTCGTGTTACACCACCTTGAGATTTTCAAAGGAGGCTTGAACCCAAATGAAAATGATAAAAATCATAAAACATGGTATATTTTGACCAATTTTGATCTAAATAGTGAAAATGTGAATTTTACACAAATATAGGATCCGAAATAATCCTGGGGAGAACACTGTAACTATACATATTCTGATACTTTTTGCATACTAGGGAGTCAATTTTCACATCTTTGAAACGATGAATTGAAATAACTTGAGTCAATACTGTATAAATATAGTTCTTAATACTATCATCCTCTTCTAAGCCCTGGTGCATGTTTTCCTTACAAAAACAGGGAGAAAGATAATATTAATGCCAAGGTCAAGTCAAGAACTCACATATACAAAACAGAAAGATTCCAAATCAACAAAAAAAATTGTATATGGTAGTCTTGCTTCAACACCCCCCCCCCCCCCCCCTATCTTAAGTGGGGGAGTGGGTCCGGGGAGACAAGACTACTATGAAATTAACATTAAATTCTGGTGATCGGATCATAGTGATTTATTTTTCATTTCTATTTTATCTTCACATTTTTCAAACTGGCTATTAGGTCCTTTACCTTAGATAAATCCTAGAAATAACATTTTCATCTTCACCTACCTAAACTTCTAAACAAAACATAATGTAAACATTCAATGATAAATGAGGTTCAAATTGCAACAACAGAATCACTTAGGCAGATTAACAGGTACCAACCTACCTGAAGCTTGTTAATATGAATATGGTGCTATTTTTAAACGGAAGAATCGTAACTCGTATTCTATACTGAGAACAAGACAGGTTTATTTCGTAAAGTATATGATATATATGGCAGTGACATTAGTCCAGTTCTAAATGAGTAAGTTCAGCTAAAACTGCAATTTGTATTCGGAAAAGTAGTTATTTTCCTATTGGTAACTAACCTCTTTACGGCTGTTAATCAATTGTGAGATTCAATTCACTTGTTAATCATTTAGATATGGGAATTGAATTTTCATTGTTTCGACATCTATAAAACTTATTGCTAATGGTTGCTTTGTTACAGACACCTTATATTGACCGTCAATCACCACTTACAAAAAATGCCACTAATGTGTTACTTCTTTTTGGCATAGTGACTAAACAATATGCAATTTTCTCAATCATTAAAATGACCAGTACTTGTTAACTCCAGCTAGACCTTTTATTTCTCAAACTTTTTTATGGATGGTGTTCAGCAGTCAGAATTTGGCAATTAGTTCAATGTTCATCGGTAAGGGTCTATAACAAATGGCAGGTGGTGATATTTTATGTTAATGCTTTGTATATATAATGTGTGGCAAGATAATATGTGACATATATAATGTGTGACTATTATGACATGACATTTTGCTTCTTTAGAAGACAGTCTGATCCTCAGAAAGTCAATGCCACATTCTTTAGCCTCGTAATATTCAACACCTTCATATGTTTCTTTACATAATAACTTCCATTCAGGGGACATGTGCTAAAAGGCTGTTTCAAAAGGCTGTTGCAATATATGGGCGGATCTAGAAACCAACAAGGAGGGGGGGTGGCTCATATTTCAAGAAAACAAAAAATTAAAGTGGGTTAAGGCCTATTTTCTTGATAATTTGGCATGAAATAAAAAAACAAGGCCTTAAAACCTCAGTAATGCCCACAAAGGCCCACTAATTTTCTTGGAATGATTTGAGGACAATACTTTTGATGAGATAACCCCTAAGGCTCTATAAGACAGCAGGTGTAACATTTATTCCAGAGGTGTAATATCGCTTATCATGAAACGTGAAAAGTACATCCTAAAAGTACATACAGAGAAGAGTATCACCCACTGTCTAGTGAACATGTCACCCAAATGATGAAGACCCAATCAGCCAGAGCTTCATTTATTAACATTAATTTGGTGATGTTTTCAAGGCATAATAAATCTAATTAATGGCAGTTACATTGCAGAATTGATGCATCAAACATTGTATATAAAATTTTGAAATATGACAAAAGATAGCAAAAAGTTATCTAGTATTTTTTTAAATTGAGACTCTATGTTCCCCCCTCTCTCTTAACTGATTAAATCTTATGGAACAAATTACTTTTTAAGTGTTACACAAATATCTTGATCTTGTCCCTTTGGAGACAAATTCCTCATATGTCAGACAAGGGTGTTAACCAGTTTTAAAAACACCTGAGAAGTATGGCATTAAAGAATTAGGTTCTTATGACTTTTCTGTCCTTTTTCAGAAATCACCTATTTATACCTAAGTTGGCGCAAGATCATGATTTAAAATTTGGTAAGACTGCCACGAATAATTCTGATACCGCTTGATTAAACCCACGGTGATCCGATTTCAGATGTCCATCAAAATTACTCATTAGCCAAAGTCAATATCAGCTTTAGGGGTTAATTATAATTCCCACATCTCTTTTAAAAATAGTACATTATATCTTCAGAAATATGGAGGTGTAAAGAAATACAATGAACCAATCAAACTACAAACATTGAGAAACTACCGGTGATAATTTGTTATATGCACATGTATGCATTAATTTGTCATATATATAATTAATTACAGGTATTCATATCTATAACATCTCAATAAGATGTGTTAAAGATCATTACTCTACATCTAATAACCAGCCTAGTAAATATACTATGATATCAGTGATCTCCCCAGGATTTTTTCTCAAGTGGGTGCAAAATTCTCATTTTCACAATTCAGACCAAAATTGGTCAAAATATGCCAATTTTTCATGATTTTTCTCGTAATCAAGTGGGTGCAAATGGATTTTAAGGTGGGTGCAAGGCTGTTTTCAAAATCTCAGGTGGGTGCTATCCCCACTTTAATGCTGGGGAGACCACTGAATAGTATACAAACTGAAGTTAATATATGACTGTTGAAGTCCTGGATAAACACTTCAATGGTAAATTTCGAGCTAAGATAGTGCACTTTTACTTCCTGGTTATCATATTTTTGCCATTTGTTAGCCTGGTATTAAGTGGCTCAGCTTTCAACTAATGTAGTCATATAATCAAAACAAAACTGAGTAAAAGTGTTTGATTTCCTTATATCATATGGAGAATATATATGATATTTTTCTTATGATTCTATAATGACTAGATAAAAGAGACTTTATAAGTCATATTAAACAGTCAAACTGTCACGAGACAGTGAAATATGCTGCTAAGTATTCATGTAATAAAATCGCTCCACTACTTTTTGATGTATAGCGAAAATGTAAATATGGTGGCCATTTAGCAAAATTGTCATAAGACAGTGTACGATGCTTATGAGTATTCACATATCAAATATGAACAAAATTGCTCTACTACTTCTCCAGTTTCAGCAAAAATCGTAAAATACATGTAACATGTAACAGCCACCTTTTTTCAAAATGGCAACCATGTTTTTAAATAATTTCATAATTAACTTAATCGATATCCTATGCATTAAAAACAGTTTAATAACTTCACCTAAAATACTGTAAAATTAACACTAAAATGATGACCATTTTGAAATCAGCTTTCGAGCAGAACTCAAATGGGACACATATGTATAAAATATAAACGATATTGGCACCGTAATATTTGAGTAATTGCCTGGACCAACATACGGACAGATGAAGCTATGCTCTATCCAGGATAATTATCAAGCGATGTTTACTTCCTTGACTGATTATAGATAAAAGTTAAGTTATATTTTGCTAAATAATAGACTTTGAAGTTTCATGAGACTTTACAATATGTATATTCTATCACAACAATATTGAAAATCAAGTGAAACTACCTCATTTGATAGTTATAATAGACTATATATCATCTAGAACATTCTACCTGAAAACAATACAGGTATCTTGATTGATAGAATGAATAAAATAATTAATGAATCTGCGTTTAATTCAATTTATGATAAATAATACAGTTACTTTTCAAACTGGTTACAAAAATAGATCTCTTTCAGTTACAAAATGTTGTAGCTTAAAGGGTGCGATTTTTCTTTTTCGCAATTTGTAGAATCTTCATGACCTTTTTTGGCACATGTCAGCGTCTAATCGTTTGAAATGTTAACATGACGCCAGAATGATCAAATAATTCCTCACTAATAATTACGTAAATAGAATGGTTAAAAGCGCAGATGTTAACCATTTTGAACGTTCCATTTAAGTAACAAAAGTGGGGAATTATATTGATGATTCTGGCATCTCATGAACTATTTGAGGGTTCTTTCACAGTCATAACAACCCTTGATCCCATGTTATAAATGGATGAAGAACCAGATATAGTCATTGCATAATTAATTTCTGATGTAATTCTTTCAAAATTCATTGACTTTCCCAAAGTCCCAATATAAAACAGGTGTATTAAATGAACTGAATCTGACCATTCTGAAACTCAATCATCACATTTTTCTGATTTGCAACGAGATATCTAAACGCTTGATTTAATTTCAACAAAAAAGAGATGGCATAGTATATGGCGGATCATGATGAAATATGGACTGAAATTCAATCACAGAACTCTATCCTAGATAACCAAAGATACTTCAACATCAAAGCTGTTGATACAAATGCAGTGAGTTCTACATGAAATAGCAATCTTGCATTCTCTACTGGTCTCTACTCACCCATTCTGTTAAACCAGTGTATTCCTTCAGTTATATCTTGATGGATCAAGATGCTTAATTCACATAGCTGAGGTGCCTTTGCATTAACCAAGTATGCCTTACCCTTTGGTTTGGTTACCTGAGAATGGATGTTATCTAATATTTAAACATATTCACAAGCCATACACAAACATTTCAAGGCAAATGATAAACTTTGCTTTGTTATGTGATATTGAGCAACAAATTCAAGTTTGTAAACAGAGGAGCAAACAACTTCCAAAATGTTATATATTAATTCTGGCTGAAAACAGATTTGTATATTTATGCATTGTGTATTACAGTAACTGACATTTGTACAAGCCAAAAAATTCAAAAATAGGATCATCACAATGCATCACAGTGAAACCTGTCTTAGCGAACACCTCTCTCTAACAATCACCTTTGTCTAGTGAACACCCCTCCCACCAAACTCTACTGACTTCTGTATAAAATTGTCTCTCTGTAATGAACACCTACCTATAGTGAACACATTTGTGACTCCACAGGTGTTCACTGTACTCATGTTTTACTGTATATAAAAGTATCACTTTTCTAAAATTTTCAAGACTACTGTGGAGGTAGTGCAGACCATTATAACGATGATACACAAGATTGTATCAACATTTCTAATGGTTGGGTTAAAAGAATTTCAAGTAGGTTTTTGTGTCTATTTTTCCTATTTGGCATAATTGGGAATTTGATTCAATGCAAATGTTGCATTCGACATGTATATATTGTATATATGCTATTGTATCTCATACTTGAGTGGGTTTGGGGTAGATATCACCCGGGAATATATATCATATCTGAGGAGCGGGCAGGATATAAATATATGTCCCGCTCCAGGGCAAATGCGGGCAGATATAATATATCCATCCCGCTCCCGGGAATTTTTCAAAAGTTTTAAAAATTAAAAAAAATTAACATTTGAAAGTTTAAAATTTTCTAAATAGTTTAAATGTTACAATTTCATTGTATTGAACTGAAGGAATATTAAGAAAATGTTAAATATAAATTGTGCTTTTACAGTATAGGCCTATCTTGTCATTTGACAAAGGTGGAACCCCAAACCCACTTAAGTATGAGATACACCAGTTATGTACGATCGGTTTTGGATATAGGGTATATCCCTCGGGAAATATTTATATCTCCCCTTGGTCCCTTCGGTCCCTCGGGGTGATATAAATATATTCCTCGGGATATAACCTATATCCAAAACCTCCCAGTACATAACCGTTATATATATATGCTATTGTATATATGCCATTGTTATAGTCATAGTTTCTCTGACTGGTGTTTATGTTGGTGTCAGTTTTGGCATTTTAGTAAATATTGTAGAATTGAACATTCTCATATAGATTTTTATTATATGTTATTATGGAACCACCAGAAGTGGTGTCATATTGTTATACTTTCCAACTTTTTTGTGGGTGGTGTTTGGCATTTTGTGGTTGGTGTTTGGTGGTTGGCATTTTGCAGTTGGTATTCGGCAACTGTTAAAACCTGTAATCCAAATACCTCTGGCACTAGCCAAAAGTGTTTCAGATTAGCAGATTTTCACATCTCAAGATTTTATAAACATGTTACTCGATGTAATGGGAGAAAACAAATTGTAGAGCGAGAAAAGTGTTCACATTGAGAGGTATTCAGATATACAGGGTTCACTCTATCTGTCTTCAAGTTATTCTATCCTTGCAAGGAGATGGCTTTGTCTCTGATAATTATTACTAATTGCTACTGCTGCAATCTGGGTCTCAGATTAAACGTCTTTATATTAAGAATGTCTTAGCACCTGGATGTCAGCATAACTTTTTGTTTCATGCAGGTTTATTTTAAGTTTATAAACAGCATCTTTTCACCTTATATACTGTATTTAGGTATTTATCAGGTATATTTATGAAAGTTACATAACTTGAAGTAGTATTAAAAAATATCAGCATCTTAACATCTTGTATGTTACTTTATGTACAAATTGTAAATAACATTATGGTATATACGTATAGTGGTGTATGCGAGACTATGGGATTTGTTTCTACATTTGAAGTATGTCTTTATCGAACATATTCTGATTGGTTGAGGAGGGTCGAAGGATTATCTCTAACACATAGAATGTAGATTCTAGCTATAGCAGGAGAGTTAGCTTAACTGGAATAACTGTAAACCATGGGATATAATCTTCCTCCTTGCAAATGGAGGACCTGGCGCTATTACCATTTGCAAAAGTTTGACTTTGTTTTTCATGATTAGGACTATTTTCATCACATTTTATACTAGTCTCTAATTTTCAGGCTTAGACAGCAATTAAAGCCTAATTAATAACCTTGGTCAAATAGTTTACTGGACCTAACTAAACTTATAACAATAAGCTACAATAGAAGTTACATAATATTATAATGCGTTACTTAATAGCTGTTACACATGAAAATTTAAATGTATATTAAAACTGAATGCTAATTAAGATAAGATACAAAAACTATCAAGTAATGATACAAATGAGAAGAATCTTTGTATAGTGCTCTAGTAATTTAAACCAACCAATGCAAAATGATTTATTTAGCACAATTCTTCCTCATCTCATATTTATGATCATATTATATGGGAATGGTTATTTTTTACAATTCTCAAGCCTATCTTCATATTACATCTCAGTATTGTATTACAAAACTCTATAGTTGTAATTCTATATCAAAATTCTATAGTCACATTTGTTTGAATACAAGAGACAATATTCATTCTTGTTCTTGGAATTCTGTTCAGAATATAAAATAGAAATATGTGTAGTGTTACATATCTGATGAAGCAGAGCGTTCTAATTTTTTAATTTTTGCTGCAGCAGTTTTGGGAAATAGAACGCTTTAGGAAAGTTAATTTGAACTGGGCCCTGGCACGATAAGGAGGTGTAGAATTATTGTCATTTAGGGATTAGTTCTCCCATTCACACCTATTTACTTGCCCGATTGAGTATAATGAAATTAGGAAAATGTAATAATTTGGTTTTCGAAAAACTCACTTGAGAGAAAGATTGTAATCCCTGGGGTCATAATAGAACAAGTTCACGTTCGAATTCTATTTAAAAGTTGTAGCTTATGCATCCCTATTTTGAAATTACAATAGTAAAACAATTGCAATAGGAACTAGAACATGGCCATTGACACTATCGTTGAATGCCAGTCAAAGAGGAGGATGATTAAATTATATAAAGGCCTCTCATAATAAACAAGGCACATGAGGTGAACGAGATCACACCATCAAAAAACTTTCAAAATGGCCGCCAGAAAAATGGCTGTCAAGAAGTTAATCCGCTCTAGAACTTGATATCCACTATCATGTGTGCAAATTTGGAGACAATCAGACAAGCAGTTTTCCTGTTCCTGAAATGGCGATGACAAGATTTATCAGGAAACCTTCAAAATGGCCACCAGAAAACAAGATGGCTGCCCAAATGTTAATCAGCTCTACAACTTTATATCCTCTATTATGTGTGCGAATTTGGAGAAAAATCAACAACCAGTTTTCCTGAAATGGCGAAGACAAGATTTTCCGAAAAACCTTCAAAATGGTCGCCAGAAAACAAAATGGCCACCCAAAATGTAATCAGCTCTTAGAACTTGATATCCTCTATCATGTGTGTGAATTTGGAGACAATCCAACAGGCGGTGTTCCTAAAATGGCAATTATAAGAATTTCTGAAAAACCTCCAAAATGCCCACCAGAAAACAAGAAGGCCGCGCAAAAGTTGTAGCTTATGGCCTAGTCACATAGCCCAGCCGATGTCCGGCATCGGAAGAGCTCTGTGGATTTTTTTGGTGCCACCTAGCTCTCCTCATCGGAAGCAGAGCTCGGTGACGTGAACGGACTCCGTCCGGACATCTTCAGGCGACCGACCGAACACCGGCCGGTGACCGTACGGAGTCTGTCTCAAAATGGTAGTTTTTTTCTGCCGATGTGGCAGCAACTACCGGCCGGAGGTCGGCCGGACATCGGAAGAAATACGGCCGGTACCCGAGCAGGTAACAGGACACCGTGCGATCGCCGGCCGGGTTGTTAACAGGCTTTGAACAGTGACCGGCCGATGCTCTGTCCCACATCGGCCTGAGCTCGGTCGGAGCTCGGCCGCTGTCCGTTAAAAAACCTCGTCCTCTGGTTGTCTCAGATGCACGGGACACCGGCCGATACTCGGCCGTGCACCGGCCGACGTGTTTTCCGATGTGGTTACGATGGGGCTGCGATGACATGATGAGGGAGCTCGGTGAGAGCCCGGTGAAATTTAACTCCGAAGTTAAAATTTCACCAAGCTACCACCGATGCGGTTTTAAGCAACAAACGCCACGGATGTCCAGCCGGTGTTCGGCCGAGTTCGGTGAAAATTGCATCGCTGGCTCATCGTAACCTCATCGGCCGGGCTATGTGACTAGGCCATTATACCTCCCTAC